CACACCTTCCATTCCATCGAGAAGGACTGTCGCCATGCGATCCGCTCTGGCAGTCACCCCCGTTACTGCTACTGTAAAAGCTTCCGCCTTAGGGGCCCCCTGACCCTCCTCCGATAGAGGTATGCGAGTCTTCCGCGTGATCATCTGTAACTCATCACGAGCCGGCTTCGATGCCGCCAGGTACTCCAGAATAGAGCACTGCATGGGTTGCCGAAGGACCCGCCTCAGTGGCTCGACCGTGTCAATCTCGTCCAGCGAACTCTTCATTAAGAACTTCTTCACTTCCCGCTTTCGCGGCGAGAGGATAACCTCCTCTCCATCGACCCGCTGCCCGTCCTTCTCCGCCATCACGTAATCAGTGTCAGTCTTCTTCGATGTAGACCCTCTCGCCGACTTGGTGGCTGCCACCCTTATGGGTGTGGTCGCCATGTCCCCTTCAAAGGTTATCTTAATGCTTTGGCTCCTGACCGGCTCCATTCCTTTACTCGTCTTTATTCTCCTTGCTTCGACATTCTGCTTCATCGAAGGGAACATCGATACATCTCCCAGACCATCTGCCCACTTGACGTATTTGCGGTCGTCAAGCACGACAAGTCCCTCATCTATTGCCCGTTTGAGGTCCAGGCAATCCCTCTTGATATGATCTTCTCCTCTACAGTAGACGCATGAGTTCCTGGGAATAGATGGTCTGTCGTCTGCGCTTCTAGCGATCGAACTCCTGGCTGCCTTGGGGTCAGGCGACTTGGGATATGGTTCTGATGAGACGCCATATCCCCCTCTCTCATTCCGACCGCGCGAATCGTTGCGGCGGTCTCCTCCAGACCCTCCTTGCTCATACCGCCCTCGCGAATCATTCCGGCGGTCCCCCGAGTCATATCGCCCTCGTGACTCATCGCGTCGGTCCCCTCGGTTGTACCACCCCCGCGACTCATCGCGCTGCTCTCTCGCATCTCCCCCGCGCTCAAACCGTCCGCGCGACCCATCTCGTCGTTCCTAGTCCCGATCTCCTCTTTCATACCTACCACCTCTGTAGCCATCTCGATCCGACCTCTCGTATATGTCGTCCCTATATCCGTCTCGGTCCGATCTCTCGTATCTGTCGTCCCTATATCCATCTCGGTCCGATCTCTCGTATGTGTCGTCCCTATATCCATCCCGTCGGCCCTGATCTGTCTCCCATCGGCCGTGGGAGTCGCCTCTACCCCGATCGGCCTCATAGCGAGGGCTTCGCGGGTAATCATCCAGCCTCCTTGCTCGCGCAAACGGCTCGCGATCTCTGCGGTCTCGGTCTATCTCATCATCCCTACGTCTCCATGGCTCATCGTCTCTCTCTCTTCCCCTCGTACGATAATCAGTCAGCGTCCGAGGATTTCTATCCTCGACACTCCTCTAGGAATCGTTGTTCCTACGGTCCCAGCGAAGTGAATAGGGCCCTTCAGGTTTGTCCCGGTAGGCCGTGACCCCTGTAGTGGTCACAATCTCTGTAACCTGTCTCGTCAATCCCTTCACCATGTCCCGTAGCTCCTTCACTTCCTCAGCCACGGCCTCATTCTTCTCCGACCAGGGATAGTCATTGAAATCGGGACATCTATCAGTGACATACTCCTTGTAGAGAGAGAAGTCACGTCTCCTCATCCCTCTCCACACCAAGTCTTTGTAATCGTCTGTCTCTGCCTTTATCGCGAGCCTTAGGACTTCTGGGAAATCAAGCCTGTCGCGCGGAAGATCTCTAAGTATACTCTTTTGTCTAGCTTTGGACAAGTGTCCGATGAAGATAGTACAGCGCTCGACCTCTGAGATCTTCCCCTTCTTCATCAACACGTCGGAGATTTTTCTGGAAACGCATCTCAAATGCCCGTACGCTCTCATCTTCATCTTGAGTCATTGTTTCAAGGTCCTTGATGGAATACTTGTTATCCTCCAATTTGTAAAGCTCAACGAGGTTCTTCTTGTACGTAGTCCATTTCCCATCCTTCGGTCGAGCTTCTTTAACTTCCCTACTGAGACTTGGGTCCACATTAAATAGGAAGTTCTCTATAATCTCTTCCTTCGACCATTGACTCCGGCTTGCGTGAAGCTCCCACTTCTCCAGATATTCTGTGATACCATAGCCCCTGAAGGTAGGAGGCTCTGAGGCCTTGTGCGTAATAATATAGCGATCCTT